CACACATAGTAGGTACATTTACTTAGGATATTGCAAGCTGATTTACCTTATTACTCGTAAGAAAGATGGTTGGTTGTTGTCCATGATTTGATTAATAAGACGGCAGCCGTCATAAAATGATGGTAAAATTCTGATATTAAGGTTAATCGAGCCGTTGTTCATCAATTTGGTGTGTGGTGAGTGGTCATTTTCCGAACTGTCAAAAACCGCAACATCGTCCGGCAAATATGAGAATGAACTCAAGTGGATTGCAGAGTTAGAGATTAACCTCAAGATCTGCGAAACACCAATTAAGGGATGCCGTTTGGTTTAACTGGCCAATGGATTAGCTCCTCAAACAATTAATTTAATATTGAACCCATTTTGATGTTAGTAATCCCACAAAGTTGTTAAGTTATCAGAAACTATCCAGAAGATCATTTAGCGGTTTAACTCACCCTAATATTATCACCAAAAATAAAATAAGAATCGAGTGGAAAAAAATATAAGCATGTATAACATATTTGTCTGAGAATATTGGTTAACATTAACATTACAAATACTTAGGTACGATAGTTAACACATAGTTATAATACATTTTTTTTTCGGAGACATGCAATTGTTATTTTCAGAGACGTTTTCAGTATTAAATTTTAGTTTTTATATAATGTAGCAGCGTAGCATTGCTGCGTAGCAAGTACTACAAAGAATACGCTATGAACTACGCTGTAGCCAACGTGTATCTCTAGTTGCTCCGAATGTCCCAATGTAGGAACTTCTTCTTATATCAAGCTATATTTGATATAAGAAGTAGGACAAAGAAATAATATGAGATAATAACAATAATATCGTGTGCAAGATGACACCCGTCACGTCATCCATTGTTGGGGGTTGTCTCTGATATTAGCGTTACAATCAATCACCGCGTCGCCGTGACATGGTCGTAATTAGGAGTATGTCACACTCTTATTCTGATAGAATTATTATTATTCTTATAAAAAAGGAATGTACAGGCGCCGAGTAAAAAGGGAATGGACAGGCGCTCCCTGTAAATGCAACATCTTGCACTGCGCTCGCCAATCCGCCTGCTAAGCGTGGTATGACAGTATCCTTTTATAGGGGGAGGCCCATGTCTAGTAGTGGACTGTTGTAGCTGTTATACCTAGTTGTGGTGGTAAGTTTATGGTTGAATTCAAGCATACCTGCGAAATACACTTCCCATCAAAAAAATCGAAACACCTCAGTTTTTCTCGTTTTTGGCCGAATTAAACATCAAAAAGTATTGTTTGCATTAAAAAAATTATATGACTGTGTAGCTGGCAGTCTTGTCTTTTCAGTGTGTATAAAAAAAATCAAAATTCAAATTTGGAACCCCACCTGTTTGTTCTGTAAATGAGATGAATGACTGAGACACGTTTGCAGTTTGCGCCTTTTAATGATTCATTACATTTTCAACATTAAAATTTAGAGCTTGTCTTATCTTAAAACTTTTGTTTTTTTAGTTGTTTACTGTGACTTTGGATCGCCTGAAAAAAGTTAGATTTTATCTGAATCATTTTGCCCGTAGAAGCCGCCTAAGTTGTGACATTGCCAAATTTTGGACTTGGTCATCGTTTTGTGGCTGAATGTTTGCATTTTAGCCTCACCTCTGTTCATAAAGCTTACAAACGCTATCAGAAGACTGGTTTGTTTACGCGACGTTCAGAATCTGTCGGAAATCGGGTCAGTTCTGACCGACATGATCGAATTAATGTTAGGAGTTCTTTGCAAAATCGACGCCTTAGCGCTTTTCAACTGCGGCAAAAGCTATCAAATGTACAAAAGGTGGCTGAAAGCGGTTCTACAATCAGAAGAAGGTATAAGGAACGTAAACTGGTACCGCGATAGCCAGGAAATGGGCCCAAATCAAAATGTAATGAATCGTTAAAAGGCGCAAAGTGCAAACGTGTCTCAGTCATTCATCTCATTTACAGAACAAACAGGTGGGGTTCCAAATTTGAATTTTGATTTTTTTTATACACACTGAAAAGACAAAACTGCCAGCTACACAGTCATATAATTTTTTTAACGCAAACAATACTTTTTGGTGTTTAATTCGGCCAAAAACAAGAAAGACCGAGGTGTTTCGATTTTTTTGATGGGAAGTGTATTAAAAATTCATATAAATATGACATCAAAAATTACCGGCCAAATAGTCAGTTATGTTCATTTATTCCTGTCAATCATTTGTTCTATATCAACCTAAGAGTGTATTTCATACATGATTTCGGCAATTTATTGATTGTTAAACTCATGTTGAGATAATTGAAATTCCTTTCGCACCCAAGAGTCACACACATATTTCGGAAAGGCTATAAGTTCCGTCTTAACACTATATCACTGCGAGACACTTGTAATGTGAGTCCTGAATAACGACGAGACGCGGGACGCGGGTCGCGGGGGTCGCGCCATGCCGGATGTCGCCATCTATAGTTACGCGTATTTTTACTATTTGTGAGTAGAGATATTAGCACAATCTTTAGGCAGATCCGATGGTCGATATTTTATGTCAAACTGACATCTGAAGCCACGCGTCCAACGAGTGTGAGCATGTCGATGCGTGAGATCTTTCACGCTAAGCGTCATCGTCAACATGGGATTTTAGTATGCGGTATTCGAAACCTTCCATCTGACAGACGCATGCGTTAACGCAGCGTTAAAAAGGCGCAGCAACGGACGTCAAGCAGGAGAGCCACCCATGATGTGTATATTCAATTCCTTCTAAATAAATTAATTCTTTCCCGGTCCCGGTTGCTGTCTATGACCATTTAGACGGCGATCGTTACACAACTATGTCAGTGGCCTGCTACTTGCAGTAGGCGGTTGGTAAACTCTGAAACCAGGTTTCATTGGATAGTTGGACGACTTGGTGTTCCACTCGAAGAAGAAGAATGAATTAATTGCCAGTCGTAGGAGTAGTAGCCAACATAACAACACTTCATTCAACCTATGCTTGCGAATGCGAATATTCATCACATGACAACAATAAAAACTACATTTTTTATTAGACCTACCAGTGGCGAAGGATTCATACATTCTTATTCCCGTCGGATTCCCTTTCACATCAATCTACTTTCATTTAGTACTTTTTTTGTGCCAGCTTTCCTTCGTAAAAATACCACCCTTCGCCACTGATACCTACCTACCTTTACCTACAGATAATTTTAGAAATGATAAAGACATACAATATTAATTGCAGTCACGAACAATCCTGACACGAACCTGAACGATAACATTCTAATTACTGTTAAAAATAATGGCACAAGAAGAAAGTCTTTGGCCTCATCGCTCATTTAAAACCGGTGTCGATAACCAAAAGATAACGGTATTAATTACAAAACTTTGGAAATAATTACTGCAAATGAGACCAGAGTAATTTTGCGTTTCAAGGTCTGAGAAAATATTACAGCTAGAGAGTGCCCTGCTTGCAAAGTTAGGTAAAAACTAAAGTTATAGTTAGTTACGTGCAGGCGCGCACAAAATATAAAAAATGTGGACTTGATTTCATCTGTGTGCGATGAGTGCCTAGACAAAAGTTCTTATTTCAGGAATACCTACCTCCGGTACTAGCTGGACGGGTGAGAATAGAATTGGAGATATAGAATTGTAGGTTTATAATTTGACAAAATGTTTTTAGCCTGATGGACTATTTCGCTCTTGAAAAGATCGACAAAGTCCATCATGCAGCTACGACACCTTAATTTAACGATTTCTTTTCGTTAAAGGCCGTGCAACTTGTACTATATTTCTTGATCTGAGTACGCAAAGCCATTTAATATTGTTGCTTTCTATCTTAATAATTCGTAAAAGTACTCCGCGAAGATAATAGGGTTCGCAGATCGTGAATCTTCTTAATTACCAACAATGTTGAAATTAAGCTTTTAATGAGTTTTAATTAACAAGTTTTGGAAGGTTGCGTGAAAATATCCGCCGATTGCTGTGAGATACAGCACCGGTAAAATACACTCGCTTCATAAATTGCTAACTAAATGGTGATTAGAGTAATTTAGGGAACATTCGCTTGAAAGTTAAAATTCAATTCGGGTTTGTTGCTGCGGATGAAATATTATGCTCTACTCTCCATGTCAGACAGACGAAAGAAAATTACGAAATAGTATACAAAAAACAATAGAATTTGTCGCTGCATCAAAATTTTGATCGCTGTCATGAGCCGCAATATTGTCCGATGCGTGTTCGATTCACATACCTAACCTATATATATTTTTAAAGACATTTTATAAAAGGGTGAAAAAGTGCAGCGCTGACATATTCTAGTAAAAGATGGACATGTCAAATTGAGGGTAGCCCAAAAAACGTAAATTTAAAACCACTGGGGAAGTTCGTGTCCGTTACAATACGAAATATTACGGTTATACACAGTGACAGCGCTGTTTAAATAATGAATTGTAGTGGCTATGCAAATTATTTTAATGCTATGTATCTTCGGAAGCAGGTGACATAAACAATACAATAAGCCTGTGATGACAGGGAGGTAGCGGAGCCAAGTGCGATGTGGGTCATCCACGATAAAAGAAAATTAGAGTTGACTTAGTAGTTTTAAACATCTAATTGTTTTGTCTTGACTCTGCAAACAAAATTAATAATTTATGCAACCTTCCTATCTACATGACAAAATGGTAACGATACCTACGATAGCTGTAACTTTTGCGCTTAGGCGATTAGAGCGTCAGGTAGAGATTTAAAATATTTACCTTATGCATTATTTGTTTGAAAACTACAAAGCGTTTTTTTGCTACATTCTTCTTATTTTTATTATTGATTTGCTTATTCATAAATATAAATGAAACCCTATTTATACCACCCCGATTTAAAATCTTCAAGATGGTAATTTGTTACATGGTGATACTTAATGGTTGTGGATTCAGAGAATGTTTGTCAATATTACCCACTTAAAACTCTAATTCATTAAATTGTTATGTTTTATTTGATGAAGTTATTTTTAGATAACTTGCAAAATTTTCTACCGCAGGCAGGATTTGAAACTGCGACCTTCGGCATCTTCACTGCTGACGCTACTACCAACTGGGCTACCGCGGTTCTTATCAGGCCTGCGAATTTACCAAGTATATCTTGTCCAATAACGCGTGGATGGGCTCCATCTACCGGGATAGTTTTGCGCGTTAGTTAGTTGGTAGTGGCGTCGGCAGTACAGATGCCGAAGGTCGCAGGTTCAAATCCTGCCCGCGGTGGTCAATTTTGCAAGTTACGAGAAGTGTCTTATGGTATTCAAGTTATTTTTAGTTCAACTACATACAGGTTACATCGTTTCTCAAATCTAAGGTTAAACAGAGCGCGCGCCAACATAGTCGGTAATGCCTGGCAGGTGCAGTGGCTTTGTATTACAATAAAAACTATTTATTTAAACCATTTTAAGTATATAAAACGTTTGAAAACTGTGACACTATAAGTGGTGTAACAAATATTCCGTGAGTAGCTATAGCCCATCGTCGCCTTAGTCACTGACCCATTGATGAAGAAAGTTATTCAAGCATGTTACCCAGAAAAATACATATTAACGACACAAAAGAATACTTTGCATTTCATTGATTATCTAGAACTTTTTAATTATGATTAATTGATTACTAGCTTTAAAGAAATAAACCTACATATTTCCAGACATGAAAGCATCGAATATCCTATAAGTTGAGAAAAATCGTACTACTTAATAATAGTGACCATCATTGGATACGTCACGACAGTAAATTATTGTTGGTTGAAATACCTATACAGCATCACTTTTAGAGTGTTATCATATCAACCTGAAGGTAAACAAATTACAACATTGCGTAGCACTAATAATGATAACATAGTAAATGCATTACAGAACACGTTGATTTGAATAAATAATGCAGTATTAGTGTTAGCACATGGAATAAGTGCATTAAATCGGAATATCGACCAATGACCCCTAGCGATGAATATGGACAAATGAGTAGCAATTTGCGTCTGTTCGGCTCGTCCCTCAGACTAAAAAAAGTAAATAGAGCACAGCTTGGCACATAGACAATTTTATACGTACTATAAGTAACGTACCCCCCCTGGATCAGCCACTGACGACCACACTCTGTCAAGAGTGAACGAAGAATTCGTACCGGAGGGCACCCAGCGCTACGCTCTTCTCGAGAGCCTGTTTATTCTATTTCACCTTCCATCGGTTCTACGATAGATGTGACCACCTTCCATGTTCAAGGCACTTCAATATGCAGATTTTTCTGATTTTTGGTGCTGTTGACTGCGGATAATGTTAATTACGTACTAATATTTCAAAACTTAAAGAAGTGTGTTGAATCAGGAAAAAAATATCTCACCATGCTAGTGACACCCCTTTTGTACGAAAAGTATGATGGTTCCGCGGTTCGGAGGGCATGTTAAGCCGTTAGTCCGGGTTGCTATCTATGATCACTTACACGGCGGTCGTTATACAACCACATCTGAGGACTTCTTCTCGCAGTAGGCGGTTGAAAAACTTTGACACTAGGGTTTATCGGATCGTTGGACGACTTGGTGTCCCACTTGAAGAAGAAGTGACGCTCTTAATCCTTTTATGATGATGCTGGTTCAAATCCTGCCAGACGTATAACATTTTGATTGAAAGTTCCTATGACATAAACTACATAATTATTTTTTTAATTTCTTTGGTGAATAGCGGGGCTTTCTCTTGCTATTCCTAGGTCTAAGCCATTCGGCTCGTCCGACGATGTGAATATCAAATGGGTATTTAAGCCACCAATTCGGATCACTCTCAGTCTATGCCAATCATTTTAAATGGATGTTTGTGGTTTCCAGTGGATATGCTGATTTTCAGAGATTTTAGTCGAACATCCTTTGAAGTGGTTTCACAGAATTTGTCGGGGTTTAGTGCGTGGTTGTTTCTTTTATAGTGTCTACCTACCTACTTATATTAGGTTATGATATGACCTTCACGACAATACAAGCCGACGGTTTATTCAAACTTTAGAGAAGTGATAGGGTGCATCTATTTTACATTTCAAAAGGGCTGCGGGTGCCCTTTAGCGTCTTGATTATGTCTCGAACAGATTGAATACATCGGTCGCGAACTGGAACAAAGGGTCTGATTGTTATGCACCCTCGTGAGGCGCCATGACAAACTGCTTAAGGTGAGAGTGAGCCGCCCCTAACGCGGTTTGCTGATTGTTTGTAGCCAGAGGACATAGGACACATACATAGACGACACGCTTGCACCACCACAGGCAGTGTGACTGGCCCACGGAGACATGAGGAAATATCACGAATTTATTGCACTGTGCCACAGAGCCAACACAAAGGAAATATGACACTAATACCCGAAGCTTTTAAATCAAAACACAAGCGTCATAAATATAAACGACAACGACAGCAGAATGCACGAGAAAAACATTTTCCTTGCGACAAATAGTCTTGCGATATCGGAGATGCTTATACGAAATATACATCATCCCTGAGATTTGTTGCCGTGAAATTGTTTCTGTCCCCGATCTTCCGCCAAACATTTCATCGTATATTAAATTTTTCGTATGGCTGATCAAAATCTGCGATGAAATAGATGAGAAAAAGGGTCGAGTGTGTTTCAATACTCTTACACGAGACACACTGAAGCGCCAATCTCGTGATATATCGTTAACATGTTTCTTTATACTTTTGCAATAAACTCTGCAACGAGCATTTTCCTCTAGCTAGAAATCTAGTTAGGTGAGTTTGTATTTTGTTTTATATCGTAAGAACTGGAAAAGAAGCCGAGCGTATAGACAGACAAACAATAAACTAGATTAAGTACAGGATTGAAAAAAGAACGAATAAACTACGATAAAGGTGGATCATACACTGCTTCGTAAAATATAGAGGTTTTTGACAGCGTATTACAATTGCCTGCGATGTCAACAAGTTGATGCAGTATCGTGTATGTCATGATTTCTGATTTTCTATGGGATTTCATAAATCGGATCCGGAAAAATACCGCAAAATGATGCGATGCATGTGTTCTCTATCAAAGCACCAATGAGAAACAGGTGCTTTCGTTTTGGTTTACTCAAATGCACGATATAATTCGGGGAAAATGTTAGTTGACTGCAACTAAATTGCATTTGTTGTACAAGTGGGACAAGAAACATGTGATGTGAGCAAGTAATACAAATTAGGCGAGGTTGTGTGTCGCGTTGGTTACAGTGTGACAGGTGAAGCCATGTTAGAACATTTACACACACATAAAACCACCAAAGTAATTTTTGCATGACATAGTATGAATATTTTGGCGCTGTCCGTTTCGACGATATTTTACAATACGACAATACGAATATCGATTGGACCTTATTGTCATATAAATATGGTTTATGTCTAATTGTTTGACAAATGCCTCCGTCAACGCAGCGTTGTGCGATATTTTTGCGCTGACGGATGCGTCTGTCAAACCGTTTCACATAAACCGTATTTGTATGAAAATAAGTTGGAAAATCGTATTTTTCACGCGCTGCGCAAAAATAACGCACCAACGGACGTTGCGTTTGTTTGTCGCCAATTGCTAGCACGGTAGACTGTGTGAAAACAGCCTTATAAAGGCGGTGATTGCGCTACAGCTACAGTGGGCGCGACACAGTCGCATTCGAGCTACGTGGGTGCCGCAATAACTAATCTTCCTTTCCTCTCGACCCATTTTTTAACGCGTGACATCTTATTTTGCGCCCCGACATATTTCACCAGGCACGTTCCGAATGATACTCGCTTACGTAATAATGTAGAATCCGTTTTTAAAATGTACGAAAAAGTCGCACTCTAAGAAGGATTTGTGCCAAATTAAGGTATTTTCCGAGTCAGTTACTTTAGTGGGAATCGTTACATAAAATTCGTTTAAGACTCAATTCAATCGTGTGCGGGGGAGAGGACAAACTTTGTCGCGACTTTGTCTTGCGTTCTCGAACTTTGACAGTATATACTTATGACCCGTGTAATAGAACCTTAGCTAAATAAACTATTGCACAGCTACACATAGTTTGCTTATCTGTACCTACCCCTGCACTGTTTAGTCTCACGCAGAGATTAAAACTTTCTTGTCGGTTACAAAATATATCCTAGACAGCAATATTACCCATTTGTTGTGAAACTTTTATCTGACTTCAAAGAGTAAGTGGGACTCTTGTGGAATGGGAATAATATTTCAATATACCTAATCTTACCAAGAAGCAAGCACCAATACAACCTCAATATTGTAAATAAACAAAGAATATTTTCTAGATATGGCTATGGTATATTCAAATGGTATATAAATATAGTAGCTACTTTAAGATAGGTTATAAAATAACAAATAATCAGATAAATAATTTGAACGTGAACTACCTATAATTAAAATTTTTTAAATAAATAACTGAGCTACAAAGTTTCTATTTGTTTCTGAAAATTTCATTCAATAAAAATAACATAACAAGAAAACAAACATGGAGGGAGGTATACTTATTATTTAAGCCAGACAAACCTTTGTGTGTATATTTGTTTACAAACATGTGTTGTTTAATTTGGATTAATTAAATTACTTTGTAAACTTAATATGTTGCTCAGAGTGAAAAGTAAGTAGAACGTTTGTTTGTATGCCAATAATTAGAATTTGGTTGACTTACTTGCTTTGATTCAGAAGTAGGTATAAGATTTTAAAAACATTACTTGCCTGAAGTCTGTAGTGTTAGGCAGTTAGTAATTTTGACATTGTTGATTGTACATTCAATTGTTGCACTTTTTTAAATAACATGTTGCAAAGCAATGGTACTGTGTCTCATTGCATGACGGAAAAATACGATGAATTCCTTCGGTTTGTTTATTAACAAACATAGATAGCACTATCAAATTAACTACACAACCTTGTCCACATACGAATCGAAACGCAGTATCAATCGAATACGCGGCGATGTAGTAAAGTTTAATAATTGTCAAAGTTTAAAATGTAACGGTGCCCTCTCACATTCTGTATTATAGAACTTTAAAGAATAAAGATGTGTATTATCCGAAAACTATTCATTGCAATTTTATATTCTACAGTAGTTAAGTTTAATATC